CATTGTGTTAGAAGGAGAATATGAACAAGTTGTACTTTTAAGAAGAATATTTTAACAACACTACATTGTAATTTCATAAAATATTTATTTAGCAAATTATAAATATTTGGTTTATATATATAACCCTCAAATTTGAGATGAAATTGTTTTTATTCCTCAAATTTGATGAAATTAATATTTTTAATCTTTACAAATAAAAAAAATTATTTTACTCTCTCAAATTTGAATAAATTTAGTTTTAACTCCTCAAATTTAAAAATTAGTGTTTTTAACATTAATAATTTCAAATAAAAAATTATTTTACTTTCTCAAGACTACAAATACCATCACCGACAATAACAAATTGAGTGAATTGTACAACACTAGTTAGATTTAATATGATATTTTTTATTAACAAAAGTATTTGTAAGTTAATTTTGTGTGACAATAATAGGTGAATTTTGTTTGAGAGATTCGCATTATAATAGTACTAAGTGAATATATATTTAAAGTAAAACAGATTAATTTATAGCTATATATATAGAGATGATGGATCTACTTACTCTAAGAATAAGTATGGTTAGACTTACTTCATTAAATAACTAAATTTCTACACCAAACTTAAACAACTTAACTGTTAAATTAAAAGTTTTTAATTTATAGATAAGTCTACAATTTTTTTAAAAATTTGAAAACCTTATGATACTTTATTATGTAGATTCATATTGATATATAAAGTTATTTTTTTATAATTATTAATTAATTTGAATTAATAAAATAAAACATCAAATAATTTTATACGTTGATTCAAACCTATATAATGAAGTATCGTATGATTTTCAAATTTTATTAAAGTTTGTAGACTTAATTTATATATTAAAAACTTGTAATTTGATGATTAGGTCATTAAAATTTAATGTAGAAATATTTTTTCTTTTATATATATATATATATATATATATATATATAAAGGTGTTTTTGGAGTTTGGTGGAAAGGTTACATAGGAATCTATATAAATATTTGGTTGGGGCACATTTTGCTTGATAAAGGGATGACCATAGTTGAAAGCATGAAATTGTTTATCCCCTAGTTGGTCGCCGAAATATATTCACAAATAATGGATGAGAAGCAAATTAACCTAATCATGGCTGCATTGTGAGCGTGAAGATGAAGTTCACGAGAACACTTTATAGTTCACGAGCACAAAATGACGGCTAAGAAGCTTGTGTGGTATTCCTTTTCCTCTCTCTCTCTCTCTCCCATGCTCCTTCCTTGTCACATCTAAAACTATACCATGTTTTCTGACTTTCATTTCTCACCACAGATAGAGGTAAAAACAATTGCAAAATCACGCTAATTCCAAATCTAATTACAAATTAATACAACTAATAAGTGAACATGTGCCTTTTTCATGTGGTCACCCACGTACCAAGTACAATGCTATATAATAATTCTTGTACTCACGTTACACATTTCAGGAACACTTCAATATTTTTACTCGTATCACCTTGTAATTTTAATGCAAGTAGTAAAATAAATAAAAAAAATCATAAACTGTAGCTGCTATTATTTGTGCTCTTATTTTAATTTTACGTAGTTTTATGTGTCGTGCTATATTCTTGTCCTGTTTTGTGATTTTAAATTTACTGCATTCCTGTAGCCTTATTATATCCTAAGTTACATGTCGTATCTCGGCATCATGTATGTTCCCAGGTTTAGGAAACATGTTAAAATTGCATATGTAGTTATGATTAAGTTGTGCATATTGGGTATAGTCAAAAAAGTAAAATATTTTTTATGTGGAAAACTTAAAAAAAAAAAAATGAAATATGTGAGTTCTTGATATATAACATGCTTTCTACCAAAAGTAAATAATTTATATTTTCGAAAGCAGCAAATTTGTCACCGATGTGAAAAACAGTCACATAAAGACACAGGTATAAAAGGTACCATAATTGATGATGGTTGAATATTGTAATAAGGTTGAACTGGAGCTCATTATTAGTTGTGGTTCTGTGCAAAGGAATGGGTAAGTTGGAATGTACAAACTTCCTAAAATAAACAACTAATTATTAGAATAAACTATCAATTTAGTCCATAGGTATCACTTTCTCTTCAAAAATAATCCTTAAAAATAATAAAATTATATAAGTAGTCATTAAAGTATTGAATATTCATCAATTTAGGCTTTTAGATTGATATATTTACTATTAAACCATCATTTTAATCTCTAGATTTAAAATGTACCTTCATATTAATCTTTAAAACTAAAAAAATGTTAAATAAGTATTAGAAAGAGCAAATTGATAATCATTGAATTCAAAATTCAAATTAATTGTACAACTAATTAACTTGACAATGTTCATCATTTTCATAGACAAAACCGACTATTTGATTTAGTTTAAAGACTTTTTTTTTTTTGTCTATAAAAATTATAATAATGACAGTAAAATTTGAACTTAAAACTTTGTGCATATATGACTTAACTCTAATAATAAATATTTTAAGGATTATTTAAAAGAGTATTACTCAAAGACATAATTTCACTAAGTTAATGGTTTATTCTAATCTTTCTTTGCTTAAACTTTAGTTTTATGTTTTTATAGTTTAATGTTTTTATTTATTTTTTGGGATCATATAATTCGATAAAAATTATTTTTAATTATAATTTTTTTTACATTGTTATTTAATCACATGAATTGTCATGCATAATAAAATTGTTGATTTTTTTTTTTTTTTTTGCAATAATTACCTTCAAAAGTTGTATATAAAATAATTTTCAATTAGTTAATTATGTAACAGTTATAGAAAAACTCAAAAGAAGATTAATGGAGATGTGAGGATGAAAGGTATGATCATTGTTGGAACTTGGAAGCAAAAGTTCCAAATGGAATGGGACTTGTGGAAAAGGTCAAGGGAGTCACAGATAAACACACTATTGATGATGATGAGAATATGAAGTAGTGGCATTTCTGTAAATATGTGACTGGCAGTTGATGTTTAGATTCAATCAGCACCGTAGAGAGAAACTCAGAGAATGAAGCCAACACATGAAAATAACAGAAACCCATAGATGATTGCATATGATAGTCCAATGCACCTCGTGCCCATCACTTTCACCCCAAAAGATTAAAAGAAACATATATTATATAGTTTAAAATTTGTTTTAATTCATGTTTTTTATCATGAACATTTTGAAAGAATTTTCAATTTTTCATGTATCAAATAAGTAAAAAAAAAATGGCATCCCAAGTGTAGTTCAATATTAATTAATAATATATAAATACACTCACTAGCATAATATTTCAGACTTTCAGTACACTTAATACCTGCAATTTTGTCTCCAACATTTTCAGTATTTTACTTTTAATATCACTTTCACGTGACTTATATCGTTTACATTAATCAAAATTTTCCCATCTGCCTGGTGAAAGATATGCAGAAGATATCATTTCTGCAATGTGACACATGCTGATCAAGTAAAAGTGAATTTGATCCTGCATTGTCTTTGTTCGCAATATAATTCATTCCAAATTAAAATTGTATGTTTGTCATATAAATGAAGAAATAGGGTATCAAAAGAAAAGGAGAAATAATTGTTTCCGGGGTATTTATAATTTATATATGGAAAACTCATTATGCAGAAGAGATAATACACATGGAATAGGAAACAGAAGAATTGAAGAAACTTGGGAATTGGCTAGTCTGGTCCCTTAAATTGAGCAACAATAAAATGATTTCAAGTTGAACCCTCAATTTGTTTCATTAAACTAATGTGTCACATTGGGATTTTGACATATGATCTAATGAAAGTGAATTTTCTTGTTCACTTGTCCCATTTAAGTGAACCTTTTTTCTATGCAATATATTTCACTTTTTTCTGTTTTGGGGGCCTCAATAGATTTGAGAACCTTACACACAGAAATTCGTGCAGGGAGGAGCATGATCTCGTACTTTTTTTCTTTTGTTCTTATTCATGTGTACAGAAAATGTTGTCTAGCATAAACATGAAAAAAATGGTGCAAATCAGTGGGCGTGAAGGATGGTTTCTCACAAATCCATCCTTGCTAGTACAATAATAAATTTCTTTATTTTTTATTCATCAGCAATTTTTCTTTTCACTTTCGGTTTAATAAGGAAAAAAGATGAACAAAAAAAACTTAATTGGAGGGTCTTTCTGACCATATAGGTGTGGCTCATGGCTTAAGAAGACAAAGTGACAGAAGTCTTGGCCCGTGAAGGTTGCACGTGATCTTAAAAGAACTGTGACAATTAGTGTGCCATTGACACCTTATAGATTAGACCCATTCACGTGGAATTTTTTTTCTTTTTTTTTTTTGGATTTTCCACAAAATCTGCATTCATTACATTAATAATACAACCTAAATTTATTTTTTTAATCCACAATTTGTATGGATGAAGCAAACAGGTGAAATGTGATGCATATCTCTTACCATGGACACAGAAAATGAGAAAAAGGGGATAGGATCTAAAATAAAATCCACATCATGTTATAGACTTAGAGCATGATTAAATATAAATCTATAAAAAAAATTAATAGTTTTTATATTAAAAAATTCTCAAATATTTGTGTCAAACTCATATCTACCTTTTCATTCTATGATGGTGAAGGAATCTTTGTTGCTCTTCACTTTTTATAATTTGAAATAATCAAGGAACAATAATGGTATTATTATGGGGTTAAGCTAGGAAAGTTGGACAAGACATGAGGTAGATTTGGCCTCAACCTTCATCCAATAGGGTAATTATGAAGGGCATGCATTCATGGTAAAAATACAATAGTACCCTCCTTAACTGTCTTTTTGTTTGGTCACATGCAATGACTTGGTGTACGTGGAAGGAGAATAGCAACCCAACTAAACAAATTCTAACCAAAATTCACAAAAAGGAAAACAAACTAATTAATGAAAGATAAAAAAGGAGGCGAGGGGAATGAAATTATAAATGCATAGCATTATCAAGAATATTTTAATGCTTGCACAATTATTATTAGCCTTGAAGTGCTCTCCTTATATAAACATAACCGTCACTTGTTTCTTTAGCAACACAAAGAAACAATCTCTCTGTTTCTTCCAACTCTCTTTGCTCTCTCCTGAATTTCTAAGGTAGCCACCAAAATGAGTGGCTTCAGTTTCAGGGGCTTCACATGCATGCTTCTCATTGCATGTCTCATTTGGTCCTTCAACTTTGAAGCCTGCATTGCAAGAAGGGGTAAGCACTGGAGGCAGAGCAGAGATGTATCAGCTTCAGTGTACAAGAAAAGAGGAAAGAATTTTGGCAATAGTCACAACAGAAACCATGGTGGAGGATCAAATTCAAAACCAAAACCACCATCACATAAAGGTACACCAACATTACCAAAGCCTCCTTCACCACCACCAAATGGTAACCCCACAACTCCACCACCAAAACCTTACAATGGTGGCACTGGCACCACCTTCAATGTGCTAGATTTTGGAGCCAAGGGAGATGGAAAAACTGATGACACTAAGGTAACACTAACAACTCTTTCAAGTTTCAATCTCATTACACTCACAAATGCTTCTGCTTACAAGATAACATGCAACACTAACAATTTTCACCTCATCATAGAACTATTCCTTGTTCCCAACAGAATTCAGGGAATTCCAAAGTTATGAACTTTACCGGGAAAGTGAGTAAAGGGGGGAATATTTTATGTTGCTTGATATTATATTATTCGGTATTCCAATTAGAAATCTAGGGAGTGCTTTTTTAAACAGGTTTTATATTTCCTTTAAATTACTTTCGGAAAAATGTTTTTTATTTCTAAATTACAAAAAACAAGGTTTAAAAGACTCTAGTCTTAGCCGCAATATCATTTTTTAAGTTATGATCACACAATTGCGACTGCATGATCACATTTGTAAAAAATATTTGTCTTTTTATTACTAACAATTATAATGGTTTTTCATTAGTAACAATTATAATTGGTATAAATTAAAATACCCAATACATATTAGTCCTTGATTATCGATTTTAAAATAATATATAAACTTTGTTTATAAAAAAATTATAATAATTAGTAAGAAATATAATCACAAACTTGAAATGATCCGGGTTTTGGTAACCAAGTCCATGGTAATTGGTAAAGTAATAGGCCATTAGGAGCATAAAGATTTTTTTTTCTTCTGTCTTTTCTGTATGGATGTTGCTCTTGAGGTAATAGTGTATGCCATTAAAGAAAATTTACAGTGACAACCATAGACTGAGCAAAATAAATAGTGAAAAAAAAAAAAAAAGTGAAGACACGAGAAGAAACCAAAAGGGGGTGGGACCCACTTGAAAAATGATTCTCGTTACGACAGTTAGGTCACACTTGCTACAATAATTTTTTAGTTTATAGCACATAACGGTGGTAAGCTATGCTTTACCAAATAGGACAAACCTAGCGTGCCTATTATTTAATATAAATAATTTCATTGCATTCAAATTAAATTGTTATGTTAAGTTGGTAGTTGGTGTTATTGTATTGTTTTTATTATTTTTTGTGGAAGTTGGTAGTGTAATTGAAGCAGCTACATATACATTGAAATGAAATGCAGGCATTTCAAGGTGCTTGGGCTGAAGCATGTAAAGTAGAAGCATCAACCATGGTGGTGCCAGCAGACTACGTCTTCTTCGTGGGGCCCATTTCATTCTCGGGCCCATACTGTAAACCCAACATCGTTTTCCAGGTAACATATCTACCCAAAGAGAGAAACTAGCAGGA